GAAGTTACAACAGCCCTGAATAAAGCGACTTATGACCCATTTTTCACACCACCGTTGCTACATCCCCGTGGTCACGTGATCAAAATTCAGACACTTGGCAACGGACTCATTTTTATGACGCAGTGTCCCGGGAATCGTGCGATCCTCCTTTTGTGACCTTCTGACAAGCAAAGTCAGTGGGGGAAGTCAGATTTGCTTATAACTGGGTAATTAGCTTAACAAGGGCAGCTTGGAAAATGGGGCAAAATTCACGTAACCGCTATTGCAGTTAACAGAAATTTGGGGCCGATTGTGGTCATTAAGTCAAGGACTATCTGTGCTTCTGCTTGGATAAGTGGGATTTAGGCCTGGAAAACAGGCCGAATCTTTCTATTCCTCCCTCTATGACATGAACAAATTTCCTTCCGTGCCCCTGAAAACACATTCTCTCTGCCTCTTACTTTGTCATGCTGTCTTTCCGTGTCGAGTCCCCATCGATTTGCTCAGGAGCCATCCGTCTAGTCAAGCTCGCCCTGGAATCTGGGTGAAGTGTCCATATATCTCTGCTTATCCTTTAGTCTACAGTTATCTGGTTATCTACTCCAGCTATCCGTCTGTTTGCAGGGAACTGTCGGGTGATTTAACTCCCGCATCCATCACCCCAAAAGGCTGGCCTGGAATATTTATTGACTTTCGCCCCTCGGATGAAAATGCGGTAGCAGCTGGGCACTTTGCAAAAAATAAAATAAACCCCTCTCCCCCATTCCCAGTGCTGATTTTCTACCCCTCCTGAGCCAAATCAAAAGCAAAATCCTGGAAAAGAAACAAAATCCATGAAGACATTTGTAGAAATCCGTGCAGTAGGTTTGTTTGAGGTCCGGGGGAAAAAAACCCTGTTAAGTACAGGCAGTCCTCAACTTACGACCACAATGGAGCCCAAAATTTATGTTGCTAAGTCAAAAATGTATTGAGTTTTGCCCCACTTTACAACTTTTCTTGCCACAGTTGTTAAGTTCAATCGTTGCTGTTGTTAAGTTAGTAACACGGTTATTAAATGGCTTTTCCATTGACTTTAATAATAATAAAGTAATAAAGTTGGAAGGGATCTTGGAGGTCATTGAGTCCAACCCCCTGCTCAGGCAGGAAACCCTATACCACTTCAGACAAATGGCTGTCCGGTCTCTTCTTAAAAACTTCCAGTGTTGGAGCATTCACTGCTTCTGGAGGCAGGTTGTTCCACTGGTTAATTATTCTGTCAGGAAGTTTCTCCTTAGTTCTTGGTTGCTTCTCTCCTTGATTAGTTTCCATCCCTTGCTTCTTGTCCTGCCTTCTTCAGGTGCTTTGGAGAATAGCTTGACTCCCTCTTCTTTGTGGCAGCCCCTGAGATACTGGAAGACTGCTATCATGTCCCCCCTTGTCCTTCTCTTCATACCCAATTCTAGCAACCGTTCCTTATATGCTTTAGCCTCCAGTCCCCTAATCATTTTTGTTGCTCTTCTCTGTACTTTAGAGTCTCAGCATCTTTTTTACATCGTGGTGACCAAAACTGGATGCAGTAACTACTCAATCACCTCCTCCTACTAGTCTACTTGAGGGGCTAGATCTGGTCCATGGGCCTTAAGTTTGACATGTCTGAACTAAATGGACAAGAGGCTGACTTCTATATTGGGGCACTCCTCAAAGGCCTGAATAATCCTTACTGATCTTGAACAAACCTGGTGGGTTTGTTCCCAAGCGTTAATCTAACCGCATTGCTTCCTTCTGTCTGCTGGGGAGCTAGTGAATTCTAGTCCCGCCTTAGGCATAAAACCTGGCTGGGTGCCTTTGTGCCAATCACCAGGAGGTGGTGAGTTTTAGTCCCGCCTTAAGCATGAAAGCCAGCTGGGTGACTTTGGGCCAATTATCAGGAGTCTTTGAATTCTAGTCCCACCTTAGGCATAAAAGATGATTGGGTGACTTTGGGCTAATCACCAGGAGAGGGTGAGTTCTAGTCCCAACATAGGCATGAAAGCCGGCTGGGTGACTTTGGGACAGTCACACTCTCTGAGCCCATTTGTTTGTAAAAATAATGAAGCGGGGATACAAACCTGTTGATAGGTAGGTAGACAGACAGACATAGACAGATAGGCTGGCAGACAGAC